CGAATTTGTGGAGGTTTATTCCTTTTCACTGCGTCTCGTATGTTTTTAAATGCAGTCTGTGTGATCGGCGCTTCGGCTCTTTGGATTAAGCAATGCATAAATGCATTATGCTGTTTTGTTCATAATTGTTTATGCAATTTACGAAATTATATTGAGTTAATTTAGACGTAATGCACGTTTTTTTATAGACATTTATTTCCTTGCGTTGACAATTTAAATGCGCTGCATTATTTTGCTAATTGCGCCCTCCTGTGGCCTCGGGAGACGAGACAAAAGTTTCCTTAACTCTGAATATAAAACATTAGAAATTAGATATTTGTTTAATTTATATTGTGTGTTTGACTGTTAAAACAAAAAATATTCGTTGTTTGTCTCAATAAATTGGGGTAATTTAAAAATACAGTGGTTAAATAATTTTAAAAAAATTCTTTGCTCTGTTTTAAAAAAGGTTATAAAAATGTCAATAAGTATCGATACCGAACGATATGAAACATTATATCGTTGATAAATTGTTTTAGCTATATCGCCCAGCCCTATTTTAATCGACTGATCACTGCATGTTTGTAGCTCTGTAAAAAGATTTCATGTTGTTCTTGACCACGTCGCAGTTCCTGTTCATTCCAGTTTGGTTGGTAAAGCTTTCGGAAACCTCTCGCCATGCCACATTCCCTGTCTTGTATTCTTTCGAGTTGTGTATGCTAGGGCTGCTCAATTATGGCAAAAATCATAATCACGATTATTTTGGCCAATATTGTATTATTTAACACGATTATGAGGGGTCCGTATGACCAAAACTTTATACGAGTGATTTATTTAAAGATACATATCAAATATATATTTCCTGTAAATAAGGTTGCTGTGAGAGAGACCAGCGGAATTTCAAACAAACAAACAAAAAGTCCTCAAAATTACTGAAAATAATTAAGCTGTCAGTAATAATAAAAATCAAAGGACACATACAATAGAATAAAAAGATACAAATGAAACCAAACGCAAGTCTCGAGCAGTTTACAGCCTACTACAGAAATTAACAATCAGATGTAAAATAAAACGGCATAGTCTTCACTATAAGAGAATTAAACTTTCTTTGTTTCTTATTAAAGCTACAAAAGTCTTATTAAAACAAAATGTGTCTTTTGTTGTTTGATTAATATTAAGCACAGAGTCGGCGGCAGGAATATTAGGCTGCTGTCACTTTAAGAGCTGCACAGATACAATTGACCGTTACACGCGTATTTCATTCTCAACTCTTTACGTTAATTTATTACATGACCGACGAAGGTATACATGAATAAATACTAAGCGCCGCATTTTGACACATTTTTGCGTGTATTTGACCGTTTAGGCGCTAAAAGATGACTTTGCATGTCCGTGTTCTGCGCCGTCTCTGAGCGCATATATCTTCCTGAGCAGCAGCGCGAGTTCTCTTTCATGCTTTTAAAAACATGAATAAATATACTTCTATAAATCAAGCACATCCCATTTTGCAAAAGTCACGTTACATGACTTTACTGATTTGCACGTGAAATTGGGCTTTTATGGAGGAACGAAAGCACTGGGAATGGGGCGCAATAATTGTTTTATCTCGATTATTGTATTTTCATAATCGTTGGAGGCCAAAATCGAAATCAAAACTGTTTTTCGATTAATTGCACAGCCCTAGTGTATGCACTTGTTTTGTATTTATTAATAAACATTCCAATGTTGATTTTGCGTGTTTAAGGGACTCTGATGTAAAGTTTGACAGTGATACTGTATTATGAACATGACGGGATCCTGAAATACGGCAAGAAATAAAGCTTGCCGTATCAGAAACAGTTTAGTTTATGAGCTGGGATGCAATGTTAAACATGTCCAAGCTATATTTCACCCCCAAAAAAACAAGAAAAAATAAATTTCGCTTTAAGATTGAAGGCTGTTTTTGGGACCTTTTTTTTTTTACTTTTATTTACTTGTTCTTGCATTTATTTCACATATTTATTTAATTTATGTATTTATTTATTTTTAAATGTACTTATTCATGCATTTATTTATTGTGTGTTTTTAGGACGCACAATAAATTGAATTTATTTCACATACTTATTTAATTTATGTATTTATTTATCTTTAAATGTACTCATGCATGCATTTATTTATTGTGTGTTTTTAGGACGCACAAGAAATTGAATTTATTTCACGTATTTATTTAATGTATGTATTTATTTATTTTTAAATGTACTCATGCATGCATTTATTTATCATGTGTTTTTAGGACGCACAATAAATTGAAGGCTGTTTTTAGGACCTTGACTTTTTTTTTTTTGTGGTTGTGACATTATTTTCCTGAATTACAGTAATTTTCTTGTTATACAGTAAATGAAAACATCCTGTCTGGCCACAATTAAAACGATGTGTTCTTATGATATATATTTAAATATTTACTTAATATTGATTCACCCATCAACCTCAACATAAAAAGAGTTATTTATAGTTAGTTAGTAAAAATATACAACCTTATTGTAACTTACCAATAAATAACAATATAAATGTTTAAACAATTACAATCTTATTTTAAAAATTTGACCAAAAAGAAACATTATTCATTAAAATAAAATTTAAAATCAAGTTTAAACATTTAAAAACACAAATGTTAAAAAATGTGCTAACTTGAAACCCATCCTGTCTAGACATAAGAAACAGCATCACCTTAATTAAATACTACAGTAATATACTCTTATATTTTACAAATGTACTTTTTAAATTAAAAATATATTTTTAATAGTGCTAAAATATTGACCTTTTGTCTTGGAAACAAAAACGTTTAAAACCTTGCAAATTTGTACAAAAACTATGTAAAAAATGTTTAAAACCTTATTGTAAATTGTTCTTAGAAAAATGTTTACAAACACAAGTTTAAATCAATTTAAATCCAAAAACATTTAGAATGTACCTTAATTATTAAAAATGTACAAACTTATTGTAAATTGTTGCTAAAAATGCATAAATAAATATATGTAATAACAGGAAAACAGAAATAAATGACTTGATAAAAACAAATATAGTTCGTTTGTAATAAAACTGTATCCTGAATTTATTTTTTAATACCTTTTCCTATATGTATTATTTTGTGTATTTATTTTTACATTTATTTTTATTCTCTGTAACTTTTATTTACTTATTCTTTCATGTATTTCACATATTTATTTATTTTTTTAATGTACCTATTCATGCATTTATATATGTTTTTACTTATTCCCACATTTATTTATTTCCAGATATATTTATTCATTTATTTCTTATTACTTCTCGGAAGTCATTGTCTGAGAGCTCAGATCAAACTAATGATAGAGTTCAGAGTTTGTGGGCTCAACTGGAGACTTCAAGAGATTCACATTATTATGTAGAATTATTTTATAGCGCCTGAATTCAGCTACTTATCCTCAGTTCTGTTATTAAGCGTGGAATCATCAACATCGTCGATGAGATGATACTTGTTTTTAAGTCATTTATTTCCCTGTTATTTTATTGATCTCTATTTATTTATGTATGTATTAATTTCTGCAGGTTTGGTCCTCCATGGTTCACTAATGTTCAAGCCCATATTCGCTGTAGTTCCTGTAGAGCTCATACAGAGAGAGTCCAGCAGATGGCAGCGAAATAATACAACAATACACTTTACAGCAGTAGACAACTTTCAAACAGAGATGCACAAGTCCATAGAGATAAATAATGTTTATAATGCACTCGTTATTAATGATGATCTCCTTAGTGTACAATAGCACATGAGATGCATTGCATTACTTCATCAGATGAAAATGAATGTGTTCAGCTTAGTTTAGTTTAGAAACAGATGCATCACACACAGTGTTGTGAAGGTTACTTTGGAAATGTAACAGGTTACAGATTACAAGTTACTTTACTTAAAATGTAATAAGTAGTGTAACTATTCAATGACTTTATTAAGTAATGTAACTGATTACATTTGATTACTTTTCTAATGTTTTAAACTGTTAATCATTTTCAAACATAAAGCAGGCAGGGTTAACCTTACAGTAGTGTTCAACACTGATTACTGTCACACTTTCGAAATCCTTCATCACTTGAATTAAGAAGAAGTAAGTCTCACACTTTATATTTTTTATGATTATTTGCAAATCGCCTTTGCTCTTCCATGGAAAAGAGGGATGGGGTGAGCAGAGCTCATTAGCATTTAAAGAGATATGCACTGAAACGAGTTGCTGTGTTGTTGAAACGAGTCGGGTGTTGTTTTACATGACCACTGAGAAATTTTAACCAAATTATGTTGCAGACATTTTATGAAGACCCTAAAGAATCATACCAACTTGATCATTCTGAGGTTAAATACATATTTGAAATCATAACAAGAAAAATTGTTTTTCAAATCTTAGCATAGCTATGACAAGAAACACTGTCTGGAATCTAACAATGCCTTGGGAAAAAAACAGTTAATCTTAAAAAATGAAGCTTAGCTATACATAAACCCATAAATGAAACAAAAGAGTTATAGAATAAGCATGTTCTAAACTCCTGAAATATTGGTGTTTCATATTTTAGAGCAGTCACTGCAATTTATGAAAGAAATCAATTAAATCTGTATGTGGGAGTGTGTGTGAACAAATCAGATGTAACCCCCTTTGTAATCCTTAACATTTTCATAAGTAACTGTAATTTAATTACACATTTTTTTCTCAGTAACTTTTACTGATTACAGTTACTTTTATTTTGTAATTAAATTATGTAATTCCGTTACATGTAACTAGTTACTCCCCAACACTGATCACACAAACACACAGAGACACGCACACTCACACACACACACACTCACACAGAGACACGCACACTCACACACACACACTCACACAGACACACACACACACACACACACACACACACACACACA